TGTTCAACAACATATATGGTCGGAGTTACGACCTCTTGATTGATAATATATGTGAGCTATGTTCAAGTTGGTGAGTGTTTCTTTTACCTACTCGATTTTGTGGTTAGATTCTAGTAATTTTGTAGTTGTGCTTTTATATTTATGTGGTTTGATTTTGAGTAATTTTTTGGATGATCTATTTGGATTGGTTCAAATCTTAATCATCCCATGTTATCTTTTTCTTCCTCTAAACAATAATCTCAAAATTTTAGTAGATAACTGCAAACCCATTAAGAGAGAAAAAGGCATTGCCATGATATTGCACTTGAAAAAAGACAATTGACAACTGAAACTACACTTTTTTGCACAAAACAAAAGTTTCAAAAGAGACAATTTTCTGAACTTAAAACCTACGAATAATGGAGTTTATCAATTCCTTCTATTTATATAGAAAAACCAAAACCATCACACTCAAACCGATAAAGAAATTCAGATTTTTAGAGCAACAAATTCAAGATTTTTTTAGATGTTTATCGATCAGTACTGATCTTTTGCTGACAATTCAAATAAAGAAAAGAGATATTTCTTTTGTTTTTTTTTTAAACTAAAAAACTGCAAATTTCTACAGCACTTAAGTATTGTTCAACAAACAAACTCTCTCTAGTGTTCTTGATTTTCATTTTTAGGGTTTGAATTGGATTCTCACCTTAAGAACAAAAGATATTTTATTCAATTGGGTTAGGGTTTTTGGATTAGATTGTGACCTTAGACCAGATATTTTGAGCCATGAACCACCATCCAACCAAAAAGAAAAAAGTTAATCACTTGAATGTCACTGTTCAAATTAGGGGGAAGAAAGAGAAAAAAAAAAAAGGCTTTTTTAGAAGAAAGGTTGCAGAATAATTGAAGAAAGTAGCCAAACATGTGATTTTTTGTATAAATTATGATCAAAGGGACCAACTTGAACAACTACACAAATTTAAAAAAGTATTATTTTTTCCCTTTTTTGGTGAACCAAGCAATCAGGTTTTTTTTTTTAATGGAAGGATCAAAGTTCACTCCTGTCTCAAGATCAAGAGCTTGGGGCATTAAAATATGTAATATAAAAGTATGGTATTTTATTGACCACAAAGTTTTAAAAAATTTGCATGGAGCCCTAAAGTTTGTTTGATTAAAATATTAAACTTTGAAATCCATTTGGGGAAATCATATTGACCATCAAATAGTAGTTTATTTAGCAGTAAATTATTTGTTAATTCATTGCCAAAAGAAAATAATAATAATTACCCTAATGAAATCTCAATACCCATGTGGAATGGTGGGTTGATTTAGTTTGGGGCATATTCCATCTAGGGTTTTATTGTAAATAAAAAAGAGAAAAAAAAAGGAAATTATAACCCATTTAATTATCTTTTCTTTTCTGTTTTTAAAAATTGAACTTAATATTATTTTCAATCCAGGTTTTAAATGTTGATGTCGATGAAAATGTCGAGTTCTCAATTTAATGGAAATATCGATAAAGTATCTATGTCAATGGATATTTCTGTAAAAGTTAGAAAAATTAAAAAATCGTAAAAAATATTTAAATTAACAGATATACATTTTCCTATTTATAAACTAGTTAAAATAATTAATATTAATATATATATATAGTGGCATTTTGTTGATATTTTTCATATTTTGTCGATTTTATTGTAGTAGGATGGAAATGTTGATTTACCCCTCATGTAACCCATGAAAACATGAATATGTCGATGGAAATGTCGACATGTCAATGAATATTTAGAATCATGCTTCCAGCCCGATTTTGAAGGTCAACAAAAAAAAAGTAGTTTTCGATTTTTTATTTTTAAAATTTAGTTAAGAATCCAAATATGTTTCGAGAGATGTTTGTACAAAAACAAGCCTAATTTTTAAAAAGTAAAAAGTAAAAACGAAATAGTCATCAAAGGACACCTAAATTTTTTACGATTTCATAGGTAATCTCTCTCAACCAACTATTATGGTGATAATTGTAAGAGATAGGGTGGGTGACCTAACTCCATTGGATAAGAAGATGGGTCAAGATCTCTCTTTCTCACACCTAATTCTCTCTAACTTTTCAAAATTCCTTCAAGCTACTCCACTCTTAAAACATACTCCAAAAACCATGGATAATCTTTCGAATAATAGTAATTTAACTCTTTTAAGATATCGATATATGGTTGATACTTAAAAGGCTACTGATTTTCTAGAGACACAACTTTAACGAGATTACAGATATCAAAAATAGTAAATTGACTCGATTGATAAGATCCCACACGAAAACATCTCTTTTTTTTGCCCATGTTTACATGTAATTGATCTGATATATCCTTTGTACGAACTCCATTTTCGAGTTATTTAAATGTCACAATATAAATTCAATTAATGTCATGTATGATGTATGTACTATGTACCTTATTTATTAGGAGATAGGGCCAACATGGCATTTATAATCAAGGAGTGGCAAACATGTCCTATCTTTAACACATTGGCTTGCCTCTATTTTCCCCATTGAAGTCTTTGTACAAAATTTCTCCTTTGGCCCTTCTTTTTTCTTCATGAAATCTCATTTTTAAAACTTTGATATTCACTTATTGGAATGATTTATAAAAATGCATTCTAATATCTCTCGAATTCTTGATTTTCTATAAATTTCTCAACTTTAGCTCTTCGTCCATAACTTTACTAAGTCATTTTCCTCCATTTTTATTGTCTATTCATAAATGAAATGTTCTTAGACATTTTCGTTCCTGCAGAACCATTTATATCTATATGTATTAGGTTCTCGATTCGTAGATCTCTTGATTTGAGAAATGAAAATAAGATGATCAATTCAGTTCTTATCGTGTATATTTCATTATAGCCCTCGGATAATTTTGGATTCCATTTTTCGTTTTGTCATGGCCAATAGTTGAATTTTCCACTACCAAAGGTGAGTGGGGGATGGTGATAGCGCTGGCAAAAAGCAAAAGCAAAAGTGATATAGCGATATAGAACTAAACTTAGTGTCTCTAGTGGGAACGAACCCCACTTGAAATTGAGAGATCCACCACTCGTTTGGCCCTTAATAACAAATAGATATTTTCACTTTTCAAGTAGGAAAATGCATTAAAAAAACTCCACGATTCGCATCGATCCAATTTAACTCATATAATTTGAGTTGTGTTATAAATTTGTTTTGAGTCGGATTGAGTTCAACATGTGGAAAATGGAAATCGAACTCACAGCTTTTTTATTGGAGATATATACCGATTACCGCTAAGCTATATTTGACTTATGGGTTTAGTTGGTTTCATGGTTCATCTAAAATAAATTTGGATGGGATCTAACAAACTCAAACTTATCATTAATTTCTAAATCATTTCTTTTACTTACTATAAAATTATATATAGATACATTTATTTTATTCAATAATTTTTTAATGAATTATTTATTTAGAACAACTTTTTAAGAGTTTGGAGGATAATTTTTCAACATATAAATAAATATTGATTTACGGATTTTTATTACATATTAGAAAATATGTATATAAATGTTTAATATATTAATATTTATTTTTTTCTTGTTATACAATATGAATGACGGACTCAAATAATCCGAATTAACTCAACCCAAATATTTTATAGTTGAGTTTATTATTTAATAAAAATTATTTGAATTGAATAAATTTAGAACTCGAACAATTTGGTTAGGTCTAAAAAGTACTTCAATCCAATCCAACCAAATTCTTAGAGATCGTCAAAATTTTCCAACCTTTTTCTTTCTTTTGAGGTAAAACTTGGACTTCTCTCCCTTGTGTATGTGGTTTTTTTTTTTTTTTTGTTAAATTAAAAGCTCGTACTCTAGAGAGTAGTGTGTGAGCTTGTGTATTTGAAAAAGATTTTCATAAATCCTTTAATTCTTAAGGTTAAAGTTTGTAATAAGATCTTTTTTTTTTTCCTGTTAAAGATCAAGATCAACAATTTTGCGCTAAAGCAAACATAGTTTAGCTATTGACAAGATATTGACTTCTTCAATTTGAGGTCAAAGGTTTAAATCTCATCTTATATTTTTATTCCATGTACTAAAAGAAATTTGTTGTAGTTGTGATGTGAAAATCTCATTTTGGAACTCAATACTTGTTTGGTTGCTCTAGTTTAGAAAATATGAGTATAGGCTAACATTATTTCGGATGAACATGAACTCACACATATGCTGGATCCCGACACATGTAGAATAAGTCACGTGTATTATTCGTTAAGATTAACAACAACTTATAATGATACAGCATGTGGCATATGTATTATTCATTAAGATTAACTACAAACTTATAATGATATGGCACGAATCGACAAATTAGATATAAATAAGAAAAGGTAAGCTTAAAAAAAATCAATATAAGGTCAAGTGGAATACATTTTAAATCATTTTTATTCTACCCAAATACTTTTATTTTATCTTTGTGTCACTCATCATGTCATATCAAATCATCACTTATAAGTCTAATATTATTATTATTGACAGCATTGACTTAGTAGAAGTTTAACAAATAGTTAATGGTTTAAAATTTAGATACTAAAGAGATAAAAGTGTCAAAATTCATTAAAGCTAGGTTTTGTGTTTTAGACCAACTTCACTTTATCTTTGTTTTGTATTTTTGACCATCGAGGCCATTTTATGATAGTTAAAGATGTATTAAAAACCTTGTTTATGAAGAGAGAGAATCCAGATGTTTCGTTGGTGTATTATATAAACTAGAAATGGAATTTCAAAAACTTTCTCGGCCACAAATCCATATTTCCACTTATTCGACATCCATGTGAGATAAATTGACATTTTCACGGTATGACATGAAATTTGACAAAAACATTAAAAAACTATCAATAAAACACTACTAATACATAATATTAATATTAATTATTTCTAACTTGCTTAAAATGAGTAAAATACTTATTTGCTAATTTAAAATTTTGCTTTTTCATAATTTTTTCAAAAATATTAATTTAACGTCAACATTTTATCGATATTTTCATAAAATTAAGACGACAAAATTGGAATGATTTTACATGTTCACGACTTTTATGGCATCCGATATGCTGTCATTAATGTGGCTCCCAGACTGTTTATTCCAACTTTTTTCATTTTGAATTCTACATTTAGTACGAATTAATTTGTTCAAATAATTTTTTTTTTTTGGGACATAAAATAAATTTAACTTACCTTTAAAAAATAAAATGAACAAAACTATAATTCTTAACAATGTTGCTATGCCGTGTCCAAGAGAGAAGACAACTAACTAAAGATGCCTCGGACCTATTCGAGGTTAGAATTAAGGTTTCCGAAAAATAATCAAAATCGAAGTAATCAATCGAGTTAATGACCATCGTTGCTAAAGACATCTGTTTTCTAAACGACCTGCTTACACCCCTCGAACGACACTTTTACTATCTTCTTACCTCGATGAGATTTTGTTCAAAGCCAACAAATCTCAGCTTCTGATAACTGATAGAAGTAGCAACTATTTTAGCAAAAGAAATTGTTATATATAATATGGATCCACAACATCATAAACATAAGAAGAGAGAAGTTCATTACCAACAAGGCCGACAATGTTCCTACCCCTAAAGCCAAGGCTAACACTAGCTAAATTTCCCTCACTACTCCAAACTTCAAACTGCGGAAGACACTGTGGAGAACCAGTCAACATTTTCACTTCCTCTTCTTAGCTGGTGGCTGAGGTGTTTCGTCCTCGTCATCTTCATCCTCATCTTCTTCATCCTCATCCTCATCCTCGTCATCTTCATCTCCATTCTCCTCGTCGTCGTCGTCGTCGTCATCATCTCCTCCAGCTCTTCCGTCACCATTTGCTTCAGGGTCATCTTCTGGATCACCGTCTTCCCCTTCTTCACCTCCTGAGAAATCTTCATCATCATCGTCATCATCCTGGTCATTTGCATCATCGTCATCATCCTCCTCGTCATCGTCCTCTGTTTCACTGCCATCTTTGTTTTCCTGATCAGGGCTCTTCTTTTTGCTAAGTTCATTGAAAGGGAACCTAGGAGAGGAGTAAAAACCAGTGATCTCAGAACAAACCTAAAGATATTAAAGTGGAACATAAAAATGACATGAAATTTGATTGTAACCTTTCCTCAACTGTAGCTAATCCTGGTGGAGCATTGGTATCATTTAACAGAGCTCCTGCCTGAGAAAAACTTAAATTATGTTGGAAGGTGATTGAGGTCTCTCTCAAGATCATGTTCAGTGTAATCAATAAATCTAAAACTGTTACTTGTCTGAATTATCCCAAGCAAGAACAGGAAACTGCACACTAAATGATAAATTTCAAAAATCATTTGAGGCAACATAAGATTGAAAAACAGTACTTCCAGTTATGGATCGTTGAAACATCTCAAACTGCAAACAAAACTTCCAGAAATGGCTCCTCAAGCCATCCAATCAGAAAACGGCATTGTAATTAAGTTTTCCAAAAATTCTGGACAAAATCAGAAAGGTTATAACTAAAGGAAACATATATGGGAAGTGCGTGGAATTTGCGGTTCCTTATTGTAACGGGTTGATTGAATGACATGTAAGGAGGGGAAGATCTTAAGAGTTTTGAAATAACTGCATTTTAACTATCCTTGATTCCAAGTGCCAAAAAGGAAATGTCTCAGAAGAAATCATAAATCATAAGTGGATTAGACAATAAATTCTAGCGTTGTGAAAATGAACTTACAACAATAAACAGAACACCGACCGAACTTGCAACAATAAACAGAACACCAACCGAAAAGGATAGCTAAAACTTGATAAACAAAAACCACAATAAGTAGATAAGATTAAATATCAATAAAGCAACCCTAGAGGCAAAATTGGTCATTCTACACAGCAGCAAAGGCATTCTTCTAACATACTATCCCCAAAGAACCAGGGTTTACACAATTCAACACAGTTGGCAGAAAACCCAAAGGACTTGCACACGAAATATCAACTCTAATCTAAATACAGAATGCCAAAATCCAGACAAAGACGGCCAGTTCTTAGTCACAATGAGAGGAATAAGTTAACAAAACGTGAGAAAAAACTGTATTCCATCCACATTACCACTACAACAAACGCTTCTCTTCAAACACGGGTCAATATTCAACATTTTCAGCTAAAATTTCTCGAATGTAGCACCGAACAAAGAGTAATGACCAGGAAAGTAAACAAGAAAAGCAAAACTTTCTGAGCAACAAACACCACCAAAAAATAAAAGGAAAATAACACAAGAAGGAAATTTAAGCTTCGACAAGTAAGAAGAAGGAGTAAAACGAGTAGAATCTGTGAAAAAAACAGAACCCATCGGGGAGTAAGGTAAAAGGAAGGGTTTACCGCCGCCAGAAGGGAAGCAAGAGAGTTTGCAGCGGCAAAAATAGTCTCCACCGTCATAGCTTCTAAAACAGAGCGCACCCACATGTCTCTCTCTCCGTGCAACTCCATTGTGGCAAAAAGAAGCTCAAAAGTGAACAGAAATAGAGAACAGCAAGAACAACACAGAGGGGGAGAAGAAGAAGAAGAAAGTGAAAATGTGGGTTTTCTGGAAATTGGGAGAAAAGTTGGGTTTAGTCCGGTTAGGGTAAGCCCTAGGGTTTGGTCCGATTAGGGCTTTGTTTTCCTCTGCAACTGGAAAGAAAGAAAAATAAATAAATCAATTTAAATTTTAAAATGTTCAAATTTCAAAATATAATTTTAATATCTCAAGTTTGCCACATTCATCCCTAAGTTTAAAAAGTTTCCTTTTTAGTCCCTCGAATTTTAATAACTTTTTTCAGGTAGTCTTTTGTGTCATGATTGTTTTTTTCCCCTTTTTTTTGTTATCTAGGTAAGATATTAAATATTTGTCAGCATGTCGATTACGCTGATATTTTTATATATTTGTGGGTTTGACATCGATATTTCAATTGCGTCGTGAGAATTTTGACAAAATATAATAAATATCACTAATGTATACATAACATTAATATTAATAATTTTTAACTCACTTTTCAAATGGTGAAATATTATTTGCAAAGTAAATATAGTTCAGCTGTAATTGACATATTTTTCCAACCATAAGGTTGTGAGTTCGATCATCAACAATATAAAAGAAATTGTGAAATATTATTTTTAATCTAGATATTTATTATGAGTTTTTTGTTTGTATAATCTTTTTAAAAATATCTATCGACATCAACATTTTATCGATATTTTCATCAACATTTTCATAAAAGTGAGACCTCTATATTTTCATCAACATCCATATTAAAGCCTTGTGTCTAACATCTATAATCTTAATTTCTAAATAGATAGCTAACTTGAGTTACTCGATTAACGTTGAATATTTGAATCTATCATCTCAACATGACATTGCTATATCACCCAAAAATAAAAAATATAATAATTATTTAAAAAATTGAAAAAACTGAATAATGTATAATCTTTTCTTTTTTATGATATAAAGTTTTTTTTTGTTTTCGAAGATCAGAGAATATAACACAACAATAGTTRGAATGGAGATATGAATATATGATTTATACAATCTTAATAATGTTTTAATTGGTTGAGTTATGATCAAGTTGACATTTATAGTATCATCTCTGTATTATAAATTCTGTATAAAAATAAAATTGTTGGAACTCATTTTTCTTTGTTAATAACATGTGGGGGTGTGAATCTAACTCACAACCTCTTAATGGTAGATATATGTCAATGAACTGCTGAATTATGATCGTTTTAATCGTTGGAACTTAAATTTTAATAATAGATTGAAATAGATAATTTTTAATTTTTAAAGACTAACATATAAAATTTTTAAATGGTAATGAAAACTGATCAGTAAATGGTAGTAAAAAAGTTTAGAGTTCAGTGGAATTAGAAAATAATGAGCTGTACCTATCATTCTTGCTAATTACTTAAATAAAATAAATAAAAAACAGCAATGTTAGATTATTCTATGAGTAAATTATCATTAATATCTTTGTACTATTTTAACCTCTCCACTTTCTATTTTTGAGAAATGTAGAAATGTAAAAATATCAAAATAGATATTCTGAAATTACAATAACTAAAATGAATAAAAGTTTAAAGTGTATAACTATAATGGACCGTATTAAAAGTGCAAGGTCAAATTGAACCAAAATCAAAAGTAAGATTTCAAACACGATCTCTGATCTCAAGGAAAGAAACTAGATGTCTTAACAAACTAGGTGGATATTCAAATATTACTTTAATCAGGTGTAGTCCAACTCCATTCTTGATATTTAATAAGATATTTGAGTTTAGAAAAAATATTTAGATATATAAATTTTACATTATATTGCTTATTATTTACTCTTGCATTTTAAAAAGAGTAATACAACTAAAAATGTTGCCCGAGGATACATCAACAGTAATATAACGACATCTACCCTTACCCTTTTCCTCGTGGGAAGTTGAAATTTTCATACCCCACAAAAATGTTTCACTTGAATTTTCAACTCCAATAAAAAACTTCAAACTTAATACTATTCATCCTGATCAATTTCAACCTAACTTTTATTTCAACTTGTAATTTTTTAGTCGAAGATCGGTACTTTAATTAGTTAAACTAAATTTAAGTTGAAATCCTAACCTAAGAACGATTGTTACCATCTTAAATACATATCAACTTTATCATGTCATCAAAACAATGTACCATATAAGAAAATCGTTTAAATTTGGCAAAGACAATAACGAGTTTGAAAAATTAACCCTACCATAAGAGCTAGCTAGGCTATAATGTGAAACTTTTAAAACTATTGATACGCCAAATATAAACCAAGTAGAAATCCTACTTAATAAATCAATAATTTAACTTTAGCCAAATTTAACTGGTTATGCATGTATTGCTGCCGACCAAAAGGCAGTCACCTTGTTCTAAATAAAATAATTGAACTTTTTATTTTTTATTTTTTTCTTTTTTCTGTGAAGGAAAAGTAAATTTTTTTTTTATGATGAAATTCAAAAGAGAAATTGAGGTTTCGAAACTGTTTATGTTCTTGGCGAATCTTCGTTCCTGATATCTCTGCGGCTCCTTCGAAGATCGAAGGTGAGCACTAGCGAGATGCTGAGAAGACAACCCACCAAAATCGAGGTCAAAATCGAAGACAAGGAAGAACTTGAAGAAGCTCGTAAACGCGCCGCCGCCGCCATCACCACCACCACTGGCACGACCTCCGCCGCCTCTTCTCTCCTCCATAATCTCAACCGCAACAAAGATCCGGCCTCCAAAGCCCAACGCCTCGGTATATCCTCTTGAACGGGAGTACCAGAAATGGAGGTGGAGGTGAAGCTTCGCCTTCCCGATGCCGCTGCCCATGGTCAGGTTTCAACCCTTCTTTCGCCATTCCATGTCAAAACCCATCGCCAAGAGAATTTCTTCTTCGACGGCTCGTCTGGTGAGCTCTCGGTGCGCCGCGCGGTTCTCCGTATCCGATTCTACGACGGCGATGCCCGCTGTGTGATCTGCCTGAAGGCCAGAGCGGTTCTGGTCGACGGCGTTAGTCGTGTCGAGGAAGACGAAGAGGAATTGGAGCCGTCTGTTGGGCGGGCCTGCGTGGAGGATCCGGAGAGATTAAAAGCAGTGGAGTCTAGGATTTTGGGAAGAGTTAGAGATGAATTTGGGGCATCTGGATTTGTGGGATTAGGAGGGTTTGGAAATTTGAGGGGTGTGTTTGAATGGAATGGATTGAAATTGGAACTGGATGAGACTAGTTTCGGATTTGGGATTTTGTACGAGATCGAGTGCGAAAGTGCCGCTCCCGATGCAGCGAAGAAAATTCTCGAGGAACTGTTGAAGGAGAATGGAATTGCGTACTCGTACTCTGAAGCTTCTAAGTTTGCGATTTTTCGATCTGGAAAGCTGCCCTAGGTAGAGAATAAGTAAATTTGTTGCTGGTTTTCTTTTGGTTTTGAATTTTATCATCAAACTGTTATGTTCTTCTTCAATAATGGCATTTGGTAGAAACATAGCCAGAATTTGCAGGGGGGAAAACCTAAGAACTGTTTGAATCAGGAACAGGGTTAGCTTGCATTTCTTTGAATTGAATTAGAGGTGAAGTATATTGTAAAAGTTAACTGTTGATCCATGGAGTATGTTTTCTGCAAACTCAGTTTGAAGATATAGTTCGATTTTAATTCTATCCACTTGTTGCAAGAGTCAATTACAAGAAATCCCATATCAAATAATGTCAATCCTGAGAGCTAAAATAGAGTTCTTGTTTCTTAAGATATTGTTCGTGTGATACATTCTTATTGATCATTTTTTCCAGTTGTTGATTTTTGTATGAGTAGGTTCTCGAGCTGACTAGCACTATATCTTTACTGCTTCACCACCACGAACGAGAATATTAAAGGATTAAAGAATGCTGACAAGGGAAGAATGAAGCATTGATGCAGTGCTTGAAACGAGCTCTGGTAGTGTGTTCGACAAACATCACACTAGTTCTCAATTCTTCCATTCTTCCATTCTTCCCTTGCAAGCATTTCGTAGTCTTCTCCTTTAATATTCTCATTTGTGGAGGCCGGGGCGTGGCAAAGTGGAGCAAGTGAGATCGGGCAACTTCTGAATGAAAAATCAGCAACCAGACTTCCCCTGTAGTCTTTCATCGATTTACTGATTGTCATGATCCAGTTTTTGTATGATACGATGGCTGGCTAATGTCTTCCATAACTTTGTTATTTCAAAGATGTTAAATGTTAAGTCTTATACATTATCTTATCTATTCATTTACTTTTGAATTCAGTTCTTTAGTTCTTCCACCTTACGTGAAAAGGCAAGAGTAATTTGATATGTACTCCTTTGATATCTTTATCGTCTTTCTATGGTTTTAGTATATGAAAGATTCCCACTTCGTTCTTCTCATCATGAGCATGGCTACTGCTACTTATGATGTATAGAACTTTTGCTATTTTAGGAATTTAGGCATTTACGGACGTTTTTGGACCTCGGTGCCTACATCTTTAACTCAAACTTGTCAATGGCTTCTTCCTGTTTTTTGTTTGTTTAGGATATTGTTCGGGTGGCTCCGAGTGGGGACTGAGGACTGGGAGATCTTGCTGATGAAGCAAATGTTAATCTTTCTGTTTTTCATTTGATGCGATTGTCAGTGGTATTTTGTCTTACAGTTTCACCTACCTATACATTTGAACTATGATTTATTATTATATTTGGTAGAAATTAATGATTATGTTAAAAATATTATCTTTTTGGTTTCAAATATATATATATATAACTTTTTGTGGTATAAATATGCTATGATAATTCTTATACCAATTTGAGTGTTGATTAGTGGTTAAACGTTCCAATCTTCCTTATTTATGATGTAATATCATCAAAAAAAGAAAGTTAGATTGTTTTTTTAGTAGAATAGTTAGATTGTTACACTTATAATAAAAATATTACAAATTTCTAAAAATAAAATAAAGCAGTAGTTGCCTAAGGATGCTAAGCTAATATAGTTTATCCAATCAATTTGATTCACAACTATTGAGATATAAGTACTTTTTATTTAATGATGATTTTGTTTTTCAATTTTCTTAGCTAAATTCTAAAAACAAAAATTATTTTTTGAAGACTACTTTTAATATTAAACAGTGATTGTAAGTTTCATTTTCAAATACATAAAATTAAAAACAAAATAATTATAAAATTAAAAACAGAATAATTATCAACCGAAATATTCAATTTTTGGTATGACCAATGTCCAACAATTTTTATAGTTTATTCGGTCAATTTTAATCAATTCAATTTTTTTTTTCAAATCATCAATTTAACTTGTACAAAAATCTATTTTTCTATTTTTCTTAACCTGAAATGATAGTTATAAACAACCTGCTCACACCCATATATTCCCAAATGGTAAATTGCAAAATTATCAACTGTTATAGCAGAATAAATTGTTATATATAATGTGGATCCACAACATAAATATAGGAAGTTGATTAAGAACAAGGTCAACAATCTTCCTACCTCTAAATGAGAATGCTAACTAGCTAAATTCCCCTCATTAGTTACTTCAAACTCCAGACACAGTGGGGAAGATAACAACTGAAAACAGATGGGAAAAAAAAAAGAAAAAGAAAAAGAACCAATCACCATTCTCACTTCCTTCTCTTAGCCGGCGGTTC